ACTCCTGCACCCACAATCCCAGCTTGAACATTAAATAGTCCTTCCTTCAACAGAATGGCGGCTGTCCAGAATCAGAGCCCACACGGCTAAGCAAATAAAAGAAGCCATTGCATGTATCTTGGCAAAGACACATCATCAGATAAACAATTTTTCAAAAAGCTAACACAGAACTATGCACAACCCGAGACAATATCAACAAATACGTCCTGTGCATTTTCAGAACGATATTAGACAGAGGGCTTTACGGTTTAATACAAACAAACAGACAGGCTTTCAGTGGCCATGCATGAACTGTGGTCTGCCTTTAATTCTTTCTAATACGTACAATAATAATCAGAACATGATAACAATAATAATATTCTATTCTTTTTGATGTCACATCAAAATATATTAAAAAAAAACTTTTTTGTGCTTAATAATACAAACATTTATGAAATATCGTATGTTATCAATTAGTGTATAGGGATAAACTGTGTTTTGAATTGGGTGAACTATTAAATGTTGGCATCTGATTTGGAAATCAGTAAATAAGTTTGGTTATAAAACAAACAAAATGTATAAGCAATTACAATGTTCTGTTCTGCACTGCCATTTCTGCTATTAATCACTGCTGTTTTTATTACTGATATTACTAAAATTACTACAAAAAATATTTACAAATTTCTATACAAAACAGGTCAACGTAAATAATATATTGACTTTTTATGTATTGTCCTGTTTAAGGCTGAATAATAATAATAATCATTATTATTATTATGTTGCTGATGTTGTTGTTTATTATGCATAATTTTTCCTATTATTATTGTTTGTATATATTAATTTTCCTATGATGATATCACATACTATGCCTTTACTATTTACACATCGAAATTACACTTGAAATATTTTCAAACAATATAGTGTTTTGGAATTTACTAATTTGTATGTAAAAAAAAAAAAAAAAAAAAAAAAAAAAAGAAAAAAAAATCCTAAGAAAGAATTTTCCGATGAAAATGCACTTGTTTTGTCAAACGCTCTGTGCAAAATGTGTCTTAAGCTCTTTAAAGCAGTTTGCTAATCTGTGCTGCCCTCTGCTGGTCAGTTCTCAAAAAAATAATTTGCTTTTCAAATGAAGCATATTTTAAACTCTTTGACCGATTCTAACTATTTGAAACGCACAGGCTGAAACACGTTCCTGCCACCACGTACCAACACAAGAGCTCGGAGCATTTCAGATACTGCTGTAGTCACGTACAACAACGACGACGACATTTCCCGCCATGCACTGGACACGTTGCCATAGCGCCACGTTGGTTTACCAACAGCATGGCGAACAGCCCGTCTCGTGTCTTTGCTGCAGTTTCACCGAGTGCTGGTGATGTTTACCGAGACGAAAACGAATCGGTGTTTAACCGGGGCCGCAAGCAAACACCCTTACACACTCAAAGCAACGCAAGAGTGGTTCAGATGACGGGCTGTGCGGAGTTATCGTGTCCTCCGGACCGCGCCACCGTTACCATCAGTGTCAAAAACAGTAAAGAACATGTTAACGACGTGACTAACAGCGTTACCCGAAGACTGGAGTACATACTACAGACTGCGAGACAGCATGATGTCAAGGTGCTAAATAATGAAAATCTGTGTATTTCTAAAGAAAGAAAGAAAGAACAAACAATTCTAATAGTTTCTTAACAAACAGGAAGAAAACATCACTGTGACCAAGCATTTACAAAGAGAGGAAGAGCTCTTCCACATGCGAGCTGAGGTACGATGGATAACGTTAGTTGTTGCATGCGTCCTATTTTACCTATTTTATAATATATTTGCTCTTTAATTATCCAGTTTGTCTGTGCAGGTGCTTGTGGTGTTTTCAGACTTTGAGAAGATGCAACAAGCACGCTCAGTTTTGATTGAAAAACTTGACAAAAGCGTGTGTGTTGGTGACCCTTACTACAGTCACAGCGCTGAAAGTCTGAATTTGTTTAGGTAAACAATGCTTGAACAATGTCAGTCCTCATAAACCTCCACTGTTTGCCTGAACATAGCTTTGTTACATGAAATTAATTAATAAGCCTGTTTGAAAGAATGTCAAAACATTTTTATGATCTATTCTGCAGACGGCGAGTATGTTTGGAAGCTGTGGACAACGCCCGGCTAAAAGCCAGCGAGGCGTGTTGCATTCTGGGACAAGCTCTGGGACGGCCGCTGCTTGTACGTGAGGAGGAATCACAAGAGTGGACCAGCGGCCAGCATGACGTGACTGACTCTCCTCCAACACTACATCAGAAGACTGGGGTTACATTAGTCTCTACCTCTTCAGGTGTATTTGTGGCCTTTGAATTGCGACCGAAAGACAGCAACAGGAGGAAATGAGTTAAAGTTTCTGTTTAGAAATAATAATAGTACATGCTATTTCATTTATTTGCTGTTTTAACCTGTAAACACATAGTCCTGTTAAGTGAGCACCATAGATATTCACAAAAGGGCCTAAAAATAAAGATTCCACTTGTTCCTACTGGTGTTTTAACTGAATAAAATCTCCAAATTCCAGAATATATTGAATAGCACTGTGTGAAACTCAAAAGATAATGCTAAAATTTGATCCAAACATTGATAGAAATCAAGGCTAAATTCTCAAAGTTTAACGAATGTGTTAGATGAGCCTGTGTTTGAATAGGGAATACATGTACTGTATATTGTTGCATGAATGTGTCTTGACTTGCACACATTCATTTCTGACAACAGCATATGGGCTACACATGTGCTAGATAACTAGAAAGATCTTACTCACTGCCTCTAACATGATTTGTCTTTAAAGTTAAACTTGCACTGGATTTCGGGGGAAAAGTAAAATAGTGTGAAATAAGCTACTTGTTTCTGTGATGCTCTACCCATCTTTATATTCTCTTATACTTGCTTTGTCAGATGATCTAGCTTCATGGCACTAAACAAGACATTCATACCCTGTCTCCTTTAATATATAAAGGTGAGTGTTTACCACCTGCCCTGGTAATAGATGTCAATTCTTGCATGACCTACAAACAGATTCATTTAAGCTTTGTGAAAATCTATTAGGAGGAAGTGATAGGAAAAACACTGTAGGGTTTGACACAGTAACTATGAACTTTTCTTGATAGATGAGGAAATAAGCTAAAAGCAAAGAGGACTGTATAGAGAGCCTGCAGATTGTAAACAATAATAGTGCGAAAGGAACATAAAGATACAGTCAGGGGCCTGTACCATGAAGCTAGATTAGCTGGCTAGCCAGGTAAGTTTCGGTTTAGTTTGCACCAATCCTGGGTTTTAGGTACCATGAAAGTGGCTTGGCTTTTAGCAGCATTCATTGCCTTAGTAACTTGCGCTCCACAGCTAACCTGCTCTGGGCCAGGTTATGTTCTGGTTTAGAGATCTCAAACCCAAATCTGACCAATCAGCTTCAAGCAAAGTGACACATCTCTGACGCAATAAAGCCACTCCCCCAGTTTCTCTTACTCCAAATTAAAGGACGCCCCAGGTCTCGGGTCTGATTTGGATTAAGCTAAGAAACAGGCCGTCAAAGTGGATGTCTAAGTAAACTTGATTATTTTTGCCTAAAGGACAGCAAGCAATCAATAAAACCCCACAATGGGCAGTAAAAGACCAAAAACACAGGCACAAAACAAGGATCATAATCATGACTACAAGCATCCCTGAACAGACGATAGGCTTGAGTCAAACGAAAAGCCCAACGAGGCCTACAAATATGCAGTTTCTGCGCTACTAGAGTCATCTAACGGAACTACTAAAATAAAGCATGATTTCAAACAACATTGCAAACACTTTCGCGAGTCATGCCTTCCCCAGATCAAACATCACAAACACAGCTCTAACGGGTCTATAAAAGTGAAGATATGTCTCAAAAGGTATAAGTAGGCTACATTCAATAAAAGGTCCAACATATTAGGAACACTTTTAACGTGAAGTTTAGCTTACCTGTGGAGAAGAAACTCCGCAAGCTGGTCTACCGACTGACACCCAAACATTCCATCAAATTCCTCCATCTTGTAAAACCACTGCCAATGTTTACACATGTTTTACTCTGTTTACTTCTTTTCTGACAATGTATATTTTGGTAAGGTTTCGAAATTTGTTGCACTTGCTAATGATGCACTATAACCGACTGAACACCCTTTGGCTCAGCCTGCTACAGTAGCCACGCCCCAAACTCTTGCTATTGGCTGAGCGGAGATACATAGGTTGACAGGCAGGTAGGACATCCTATCATTGGACGAACATTTTATGGCGAGATCTCCACAGAAGCAAAGCGAAATATATTTACAACCAATTTCAGATAGATATGAAAAATTATATTGAGTTACTACTTGGGTTGAAAACAGTAAAGCAAAACGTACTAGGTCTCTTTGTGAAGCTTTTCTGTTATTTATATGATGATCTCATACCTGTTTTTTTTTTCGGTTTAGTTTTTTTAATTATTATTTTTATTTATTTAAAAAAAATGTTTTACCTGTATTATTATTTATATAATACTGTATATTTTCTATTTCTTTTTTGTAGTTTATATTTGTTCAGTACCTTTATATTATATGTTGGAAATCAATTAAAAAAATAAAAAATAAAAAAATAAATATATATATATATATTTACAACCACCTGCTCAGATGCAAAGCGAAATATTGACAACCACCTGCTGTTAATGAACATTTTAATAAGAGTTTGAAAACAACACACGACCATAACGACTACCACACTATTTTCATGACTGCTATTTGTGGTTCATCACTCCAAAAAAAACTCATGCTTGAAGGAAAAAAACACGCCACATACCTGCATGTGCCGAACACGTGACGATGACCTAGATCTCATCTTACATGTTCATTCACTTAAACATGTCAGATTTGTTTTTATGAAGATGTGTTTTTGGAGGACCAAAGTGTACTCGGCGGTTCCCAATGCATTATGGGAATGGCACATAGAATGATGGCTTTTAAGAAGGAAAAACAACATTTCAAGTAGGTCTATTTCAAATAAATTAAACTTTAATAAGAAGACATGTTTGTATCAATGGCTTTACATTGAACACTGTTTACCACATTCTCAATACTGTTTTAAACAACAAATCCTTCTATTTTTCTCATGTAAATAAATATGCTATATGGTATTAACAGAAAGTTAAAGTAATTCATTTTCTGGAACCCATCTGAGTCAGATCAACATGTGTGTATTTTGACGTAAGGGCATTTTGAAACATTTAATTTAATCTATAATTGACCTTTAACATCACAGTAAATTTTCTTCATAACGGTACCTATCCCTTGCAAAGTCTGCAAGTCATTAATCGTTTTAAGAATATAAAAAAGCAATACTAAAAATTGCTTTTTGTGTTTTTTTAGTTCTGCCCTGAGAAAGCCGCTTAACATATATTTACATATATTCCACAAGACTAAGTTTAATAACTGAAATTACTCAGTCTATATTTATATGGGGTATGTAAACAAGATATATATCTCTCAAATTTTCTTGCTTCCTTTTGTCTTTGTGTTTTTCAATTGCTTTAAAAGAATCAATACTGTCAATGAAGGGTAGCAGACATCATGTCTGTGTTCTCAAGCATTTCAAAGTGTTTTTAAAACCTCTCAGGTTTACACTCCTTCAGTCGTGAGGGTAGATTTCTTGCAACCATTCCTCCATAACAAACCTTTCCCCATCGAAGTGTGAAAAATAGTGCTGTAGAGTAGGAATGTCCGGCTGTAGCACAAGACAGACACAGATACTGATTAAGATGGAATCTAAACAACCTTAAGAAACTACCAAGAAAACACAAAAGTTATAAGAAGGAAATAAAGGTAAAAGAGTTCTCTGTACCTGAAAGCCTTGAAAGAGCTTGATATTATACTGGGGAATGTATCCAATCAGTATTGACGAGGAATCGGGTCCACTGAACATAATTCTGTAATGAGGAGTGTCCTTGGCTCTCTCCAGCTACACACAAATACACCTTTTTAATGGACTGCTGTTATATTTCTGTGGTTTCAGGTTCATTGTCAGGTCATCATTTACACTCTTAAAGTTAAAGGTTCTTTATTGGCATTGATGGTTCTGTGAAGAACCTTTAACATCCACCTTTTGAATGCACAAAATAGAGTTGGGGTACTTGGACTTGGACTCCGATTCAGACTTGGACTCCACTCCGCTGGACTAGGACTCTGACTTGTACTTGGGCATTTTGGACACAGAACTTTTTCAGAGTACAGATTATTCCACGTCATGTATAACGTGAAAGATAAAAAAATAAGTAACAACATAAAATTAAGATAAAGACATTAATAAACGTCTTCCACTCAAACTCAATTGGTTAAAGACAAGGACTCAGACCAAAGGTGGACTCAGACTCGGTTCTTTATAGTGGTTCTTTATATTATTTAAATGCTTTTCACACTAAGAAAAGTTCTTTTAAGAACTGATCACTGAAAGGTTTTTTGGGGAACCCAAAATTGGTTCTTCAATGGCTTATCACTTTGAAAATCCACTTTTGGAACCTTTATTTTTATTTCATTTAAATGAAAATAGTTTTTATGTACTTTACAAACCTCTGAGTATTTCATTCTCTTGATCCACTCTGGTGGGGCTCTGAGTCCTGCATCCCATCCTACAATCACCCCCACCATATTATTCTGTGTCATCACAACTTGACCTACACGGTGCAGCACGTATGCCGGCCTGGGGCTTCGCACCTCCTTTGACACTGAACAACAATAATCTGTCATGTTCTGTTGCTTGTATTTTTCCACACAATACACATTCATATCCCAGATAAAAACAAAGTAAGTTTTAATGCCAGATTATATAAATATATACACTATCTAAATGACTGCTTTCATTTGAGATAATTCAGACAAATTACCTGCAAAGTACCCATGCTCATTGTCATGCATCATCAACTCGATTGCAAGCACTTCTTCCAGAGTTTGATACTCCTCTTCCTCTGCGAAGTTCCTGTAACATGACATGACATCCCACTTCAGCATCGGAGTGAATAAGAATTCATTTAAAAAGATCATTAGCATTAGACTTACGGTAGTTTGGGAATCCAGGCATTTAGCCAGTCAACCCAAGCAGCTGTGTTCAAGTAGGATTTTCTTATGGAGTCCCATGTGTCAAGGATTCTGAATATGAAAGATGTAATGGGATATTTCAAGCAGTGACAACAGCACCATACAGTGTCACATGTTTAACTTTTTTTTGTTTTTCTGTTGGAAATATTTCTAGGAATATAACTTCGTAATTGAGAAGCACAGTACCAAAGTGCTAAAGAAGCTGATTAAAAATGCCTAACCACCGAACCTGAAATACAGTGTCTAAGAATTTTTTTAATAAAAATTAAGATTTTAGGCAAATATTTTATGAATGTACACTGCCGTTCAAAAGTGTGGGGTCAGAAGATTTTTTTTATGTTTTTGACAGATGTCTTTATGCTCACCAATGCTGCATTTAAAATACTGTAAAACAGTAATACTGTGGACTACAGTTTAAAATGACTGGTTTCCATTTTAAAACATTTTAAAATGTAAGTAATTACTGTGATGCCAAAGCTAAATTTTCAGCAGTCATTTCTCCAGTCTTTAGTGTCACATGATCCTTCAGAAATCATTCTAATATATGACGATTTGCTGCTCAAGAAACATTATCTAGCTATTATCAAAGTCTAAAACAGTTATGTTGATTAATATTTTGAGTAAATCATGATAGGCTACATTTTTACAGGATTCTTTGATAACCAGAAAGTTAAAAAGAAATGAAATGATTGTTACTTTTGATTAACTTAATGCATCCTTGCTGAATAAAAGTATTTAAAAATAAAATAAAAATACTGACCCCAACTTCTCAGTCGTAGTGTATAAGAGGATACAATGCAGTTTTTTAAAACACCTTCATTTTAAATAGTCCGTTGTGTGACACACACACACACACACACACACACACACACACGTGTTTACCTCTGAGTGGCGATGTGTCGTTGTGTCGCCGTGCCGCTTGTCCATTTGGAGATGAGATACTGCGCAGGTAGAGCTGACAGCAGGAGCGTCAGCTGCATGATCACACCTAACGTGATTTGAGGCATCATTGCCTGTACATTCAATATGACAGAGATTTCACATCAGCACATTGTTAGCCTACTGTTGTAACTTTTACTGTTACTGTTGTATTTTTAAAAGTTGAAAGAAATAAAATATATAAAATTTTTGGACACTAGCCTATATTTATTCTTCAATATTTATTGAACAAATTGCATGTGTCTTACCTTATGCAGGAACTTCAATAAATAAACACAGAATTCACTATCGTCAGAGAGACTATTTTTTACTTGATAACAGGAAGAGCTCACTGAAACTCTTAGTTTGTTATGCGTTTTGTAAGCATTGCCTTGAAAACCAAATATGATATTTACATGCGGGTAGTTTCGGTTTGACACCTGCGCCTCTAAGTTGAGCATTAATAGACAGTGCGCGTCCAATAGCGGTGGCCCACGAGAGGAGGTGTGTACGCGTCTCGCGCCGCCACGTCAGGAACGGATGCCGCGTGCGCATGTTTACTTTATTTCTGTTACAGGTTTTTTTTCTTAGGTGCTAGACACTATATCCCTTTTATAAGCCAAATATCCTAAATCATAAACAAACAAAAAAAAAAGACTTTTTTTCTTTTTCTAAACTATAAACACTTTGTAGTTTTACACCATGTGCTCATGCAGTACTACATCACTCACATTCACACTTCTGGTTTGTACAGTTGGTTTAGTAACGTTAATTATTATTCTGTGGTGATAGTTTTGAGAAATGTGTTTTGGGGAAAGTATATTAGTAATTGAGAAAACGTTTTTAATACAACATACATTTATATAATATTAATATATTTAATTATAAAAACACCAGTAATAGTCATATAAATATATGTCAGCACATTATACATTTTTTTTTAAATGAAGACAGCTAAAGGGAGCCTGTTCTTTTT